ATGATTTCCCACAAGTAAATCAATCAATGGGAATAAAAACTAATGCAGAAAAATTAAATCAATAACAACACAAATTTTTTTACGTGGTTCCCTCAATGTGAGTTACATTTATAGGATCGAAATCCGATTCTATTATCAATCAATAGTTTCTAAACGATTACAAACGAGACACGAATGGTCTCACAAAACCACCCTTAGGTGAATTCTAAATAATCACAAATAAACAAGAGAAAAGACCTCACCAAATAGATGAATAAAAGTCTTTGAAATAGAGTTGAAGAAAATCCAAAAAAATAACCTAAATCAAAACTGAAAACTGAACAAGACAAAAAAGTAGCACTATTGCTTGTTTGCCCAAGCAATACACACACATCACCCTTGAATAATGCACCCAAACCAATCACACAACAAACTTGGTATATATTCACCGAAGCAGGCACTGTTTCATCGAATTATAAGAATCAATATTGGCTGTCGCTACTCACTGCCTTGGGGCAAACAAAAACAATATATCTATATGTTGTTGATTAATGGTGTTTTTTTTTTATTATCAAAACCCTAGTTGTACCAAACTGATTATAAAAAATATTTATTGGGCCTCCAAAAGTTAGATATAATATATTAAACATATATTATAACCAACACCAAACCAAATTAAATTCTTTTAATAAACCAATTGGGTCCCATACTCCAATAAGGAGGTATACCCAACAGTATGTTCCTTTGTATTTATGTATAGTAGATGCATACCATGTGTTTATTACTATGCTTCAAAAAATGACAGCAACAAGAAATTTGATCCTACTATGTGTATAAAATTGTGAATTGCTTGGAAGTTATTGAAATTGTAAAATCAAGGGACCTTGCAACATAAACAAATAAACATGTTTACAATGATAAGGCAAACTAAAGTAGTATTTTGTCAAAATATATGAAGCAATTGTTGTTGTAGAAAAACTTGAACAAGGAAGTATAATAGCTTGGAAATATTCTTCAAAAATAAATAAATAAATAAACCTTGGGAATCCAGGGTCAAAAAAATAAAATAAAAAATTAAATGTGACAAATTTGATTTTTATACATGAAACTATGAAGTGACAAATGGATGTAACCTATACTCTAATTGGTAATTAAAAAAACACATGGAAAATTCTAATTCTCACTTGAGTTGGATTTTCAAAACTAATTGTGCAAAGGCATAAAGGAGTTTGGCTGCAAAATCCACTCGTTGAGTAGGGACTGGAGTCGGCCTTAGTGATCCAATAGTGTCGAGTAGAAAGGGTCGCCGCTCAACAAATAAAATTACTCTAGGGATAACCGGTTGATCTTCTCCAATAGCTCACATTGACAGGAAGGTTTGGGACATCGATGTCAGCTCTTCACCACCTTGGGTTGTAATTTGTTCCAAGGGTTGGGCTATTCACTCTTTAAAGTGATACGTTGTGAGATAATTCGGTCCATATTCGATGTGGGCGTTAGAGCATTGAGAGGACCTTTCCCTAGTATGAGAGGACGACTCACGGATTCAAGCAATCTATTTCGATGATGACATTCTTATGTTCAATGATCTACTCAGTGTATACAAAACATACTATTTCTCCAATGGTATCATCAAATACATTGATCATCAAAACAAAATTGTAGACAATGTGATTGAAATCATGCTCAATCCTCAAATACCAATACAAGAAGTTGAAACAACAAAGGAATCAAATACATCACAAGCATACAACTTCATCCAACTGTCAAATGCATTTTGCTACATTAAAACAAATATAAAATTTTGTAACCACCTAAAATTTATATTTATTTCATATGCCTAAAAGATATTGTTACTATTATAACTAACGTCATACCAACAAGAACAATCACAAAGTGTGGAAATGGATACCTAGCAAAAGTCTAAGAGATCCTTTTGATCGATCAATCGTAAGTTTTTCAACAATTCTTATACATATTCTACCTTCGAAACACCACAAATAATTTACAAAATAAAGCTCCATCAATATTTAAGCCCAACTATCTACTGAAACAAGTACAATTCACGTAATTGTTTACTCAAAAAAATAAACACACTCTAAATATAAATTCCTACTTATGATCTTAACATTACACGTATCAAACATCAAATTAACATGTACACAAATGTTCTCATCAATAGTAACCACCCTATGAAGCTTTTGGCATGAGATGACTTCACCAAAAATAAATGTGAACACATTGGCTCCATCGTCACTGAAAAATCTGCATTTGTGGCCACAAATCTAAAAGCAACCGCATTAAATAGCAAGTTTACATATCATTTTCTCAGAAATAAAAATTGTTAAAAAGTTTTCTTACAATTTTTACAGTTGAATATCTCTCAAAAAATAATATATTTCCAACACTTTTAATTACAAATACAGAATGCTCACTGTCCACCACTTCAACAACTGCATTCATTTTCGACATCAACATACTTGAAATATAGGCATTGTGCGACTGGTATAAACTAAAAATACAATATTCGCATTACTGTTCTCACATTCTATACTAACAGCTCCTTAATTACATTAACGCAATCAAACAACAAACCAACAAAAAATTGAGGATATTGCAAATTCGAGACACATGTTCCTATCACCATCTACAACATCTTCAGAAACATTCGAGCTTGCTACCATCAACAATTTATCATCACATGAAGTATATGTCGTTTTGTCTATCTTCTTAGTCCAAACAACCATATAAAAATAATTCGTACCAAAATACTTATATTCTTCATTTGTTTCAAACAAAGTAAGAACTAATAATACAACGGCCATAGCACATTGCATGCAACAAGTGTAACTGCAATACAATAGAAGATATTAGAGCCTCATTTAGCTGCATCAAATGCAACAGAAATGAATCCATGGCAACAACAAGGTACATGAACCATAACTTTATACAAGCAAACTCATAACACATATTAATTAAACAACATACAATTCTTACCATTGAACCATATTACAATGTAAATAGAACTTCATTATCATGCATATTACATTATATTATACTCATCTCAGTTACATGCAGATCCATCATTCGAATTCAAATCAAAGACAACAACGGCAGCTTGCAAGCTGCTATTTTTAGGCCACACACAGAGAAATTAATAGGGTATTTAGTAGACACATTGGCCCAACTTAACGTCAATGCAAGTCTCTCCTTACAATTCACATTTATTACATAAATCTTTCCACCTACTATTGACACTAAATTTAACCAAACTATACTTTAATTAAAACATTACTACAATTACTTAGGATACCTTTATTTTTTTAAATGTAGGAATGCATACATAAAATAGCCTACATGAACATGGCTTCCAAGGATAAAGAATACTACATTTGACTTGTCCCCACAAACAATGCAAATTCAACATAGGCAAACAACAAATGGAGCGTCAGACAAGTATAAGATGTATAAGTCTTTTCCTCTAATATAGTATAGTAAATAGACATAGACATACTAATATATCTTGAGATATATGTTCATGTATGACCCTGGAAGTTAGATATAGTTTACTTTTGTTTCTGAACAATATATAACTTATTTCTGCACGTAATATAATATCATGCTTTCTAACTTCTAAGCACCACATGTATCCTACTCAAACTTAACTTCCTCATTGTCTTTACATAATATCTTCGTAAATAGTTACACCTCCAAACACACACACACACACACAAAAACAAGCTTTTAATGATACTTCAAAGTGAAAGTTGAATTTATCCTAATGGTCCTATACTCCAAAACTTATTTTTTGGTATATCGTTGATTTGTTTAACATGAAAATTTATTTTGAATGTTTATGGTTGAATTTAGCTTATCATCTTATTCCTCCTAACTTGTTATGTGGTTTATCTTTGATTTGTTTTAATTAGTTACAATTTAATGATTTGTTGATGATCATTGAGTTTGGTTTAGGAAGCAATAATTGAATAATTCAAAGCTTGGTCTTTAGTAGATTTGTTACAGTTTATTCAACTAACACTAACTATTTGTTTGTGAAGATACTTGCATGTGTTTTCTCTGATTACTCAATTTGGAGAATTAAAACTATTGCATTCAACTCACATGCAAAGAGCAATAGTTCAGTAGAAAAGAATCACTTCAGTCCCATAAATAATCTCCAGTCAATTCCTGATTCTTACCATCTGCTATTATTTTTTAAATAATCAAATTCTATAACATCATACTTCTTTTTATTAAGATTACCATTTATTTCACGAATTACTTTCTAATCTCCTTTTGATTTTTGATGATACTTTTTCCATAATTCATATCTTCCACTTTTTCCAGCCATAATAAAAAAAATTAATCCAATAGCTAGATTGAATTAAATGAAAGATTTATGAATTTTCACGACTTATTTTTCCTCCCCTATTTAACTTCTTAAATTTATATATATTCCAAATTAATGGTAAATCTAACAACTAACAAAATTAAATTTAAAAGTGACAGAAGAAAGGTCTTTTCCATTGTTGCTTTTTTTTTTTCTTTTTTTTTAAAAAAAATTATTCATCTGATCTGATTATTTTTACAAATTTGGCATGTCTATGATTTTTTTAAGGTTATTTAATTCTTGTTCTTGACTTTGGCTCATTGGCCCAATGCTTACACTTTCTCCCACTTTCCAAATATATATTTAATCTCTATCATATATTTTTATTCTTCAAACAAATCTGAGACTATTTCGAATTCCTAAACTTAATTATATAAATATATTTCAAATTCTTGACAATTTGAAATTATATTTTGAATTTTTAGACTAAGGGCTTGTTTGGGAATTGGCCATTTTAGTGGCTTTTTGACTTTTTACGAAAAGATATATAAAAAAATAGAGAGAATAATGTAACAACTTATAATGACTTTTTACCTTTTTTGCTAAAATTGAAAATTCCCAAACGGGGCCTTAATTACGTTCTCGCTTCGTCCCAACTTATTAGTCTGCCAAGAAAAAAAATTAAACATTATAATTTTTTAAAAAAAATTCTCCAAAAATTTGGAATATGAATTTCTACCTAATTCTATGTCTAATCCTTGTATTCGTATCCCTACAGTAGTTTTTCTTTTCTTTTCTTTTAGAACAATCATTATTGTTTTTAAAATATTTAATCAATGGAAGAAGAAGTATTGCACGAGGAAATCAATTCATTGGAAAGTTGGTAGGTCCAAATGGCAACCAACCTTTCACATTGACATAAGAAACCTCAAATTTTCACATGCAACACATCCAAAATAACAATGGCAATATTTGACGAAGACTTGCCAAATCACCGATGAAAAACTGAACAAAGTAACAACAACACACAAATTCTAAAACTTTTAAGTACTTCAATTATCGTCATCCAAGTCATCCAACTCAATAAATTCTTTCTCAACCTATCTTTTATCATCATCCAACCTTTCCCTATAAAATCCTCCACCCCCCCTTCCTCTCCCAACCTCTCATCATCTTCTCAACCTTACTCTTCTGCACAAACAATACACTATAATTGATGGAAAACTATGACTTTTTAACATTTGACCTTAGTACAATATACAATGCCCTTCCCAATTATGATACCACTTACAATAATTCACTTGCTGAAAATTATTATAGTTACTATAACACCATGCTTAGCGAACATTCTCATCCAAACAACTACATATATCCCTATGAATTCAACTATTATCCAAACATACCTGTCAGCCCTCAAACTCCGCAACCTCATTACAACTCACAAATTTATCATATTCAGCCAGATGCTATCATTAATCCCACCTCGTATAGTACATAACTACCTATAATACATATCCAATATACAACAGAACACTTCAAAGAATATCTCCCAAAACTTAACACACTAATTACATACAGAAAATATCGCAACAACCTCCACAAATACTATAAAGCACAACAACAACAAATAGTACGTTAGACACCACCAGAAGAAGGTTGGCTGAAATTAAACTTGGACGATGGAACCTACCCAAGCAATATAGATCCAAATGACGTTGATGCAATTCGTGCTGGAACATTCAGAGATCAACATGGAATTTGTATTTATGCATATGTAGAAAAAAATACCATTAAAATCTTCAAAATATGCTAAGCATCAGTTTTATGTAAAGGTTTGCAAATTGCAAAAGAAAATGAATGGAAAAAAATTTGGACAGATTGTGATGCCAAATTCCTAATTGAAACAATTCTTCAAGGCACACAAGGAAATTACTGTAGCAACATATGGAACTCATCAGCAACATCCGAAAGCGAAAAAAATCCAAGATTGCAAAATAACATCCATCTATAGAGAAGGAAACTTCGCAGTAGACATGCTATGCGACTACATCAAAGAAAAACATGGCAACTTCCAATACGACAATCGCACATTGCCTTGAAAAATTAAAGATATCATTCGTTGTGAAAGATAAGGATACAGTTACACACAATCTAGATTATTATATGAACACATACAGTTTATTAAAATACAACTATTGATAAAAATACCTCTTCTATATACATAATACTCTATATGTATTTAAATTACAAAATCAATCTCTTTGCTTCTTTGTCTTCCACAAATAATACATGCTACAATGAGTTATAACAAAAATATTATGAATAATCTCCTCGTCTTTGTTAAAAAACACAAAAATAAAATTCTATGACATACACATTATGATATTAATTATAACTCGTTGTGATGTTAGTTATAATATTATTTTTCAATAGTTGAAGAACTCTTCGATTATAACCTAAATAACAACCCAGATAAAAAGTGAGGATTAGAAAGAGAGGGGGGCAAAGATTGAGAAAGAAAGTTTGCGTAAACTTGAGAGAAAGTTTGGTTACTTAAATTCAAAATTCACACAGATAAAAACCCAGATAAAAACCAAATAATCATACAGATCAAAACCCAAATAAAATTACACAGATAAAATTTACAGAGATAATCATATCAAAACTCAAATAAAAACTCTAGATTCTCATATCAAAACCCAAATAAAAAACAAACCCAACATGATCTAGAGCAATTACAAAAGTGGGAACAAAAAGTAAGGATTTAGTCTTGTACCTTGGAGTTGTGTAGATTAGAGAAGGTTTGGGTATGCTGAGATAAACTTCTAGAGAGAGGTTGGTGTTTCAAATTTTCAGTGGAAAGAGGAAGGGGTGTGAGAGACAACTATGGAGTTCCAAATTTGAAATCAAAGTGAGAAAGGAAGAGAGAGAAGATGTGAGAGACTTGAGGTGTGTCTGTGAGACAGATAAGGGTAAAGGTGTGCTCAACAAAAATGGGGGAAAATAAAAATAAATAAAAAAGAAAAGAGGGAGAGAGAGAGAGAGTGAATAAAAAGGAAAAAAAGAAGGTGGGGGTGAGTGGAAATTAAAAAAATCTCGACTCTATGATGAATTTGAGAATTAATCTCAACCATTGATACAACTTATATCTATTAAACATTTTGACACATTTTAAAAAATAGTCCTACTTTATTATATTGATATATTAAAATTTTAAATTGCATGCTTGATGAGTATTTTTAAAAAAAAAAAAACCGTATGTAGAAAATTTTAAAATTGACAGTAGTCAATTGTTATTATTGTAGACTACTAAATTAATTTAATAGTGATCAATCATTAACAAATAGTTATGGATAAAATCATGGACATCCAATAAAAAAAACAACACTCGGCAACTTAAATTTTGTAAAAGTTAAAAAATTTTGAATAAGGTATTGAAATAAAATCATACAGTCAGATATTTTAGTTAATTTTAAAATTTAAGTGTTAAATCCAGTAAAATTATACCATGTGTTAAAACTGATAAATTTTGTTTAAGGTTTTGAAACTCTTATAAAAAAACTTCAAAAGTTTAAATTAGATTTGTTTAGATAGATTGTAAAGATTTTTAAAATTAAAAATTAGATATTGAGAGGCAAAAATAATTAAATAAATTAATTAATTAACCGAACAAATAGAGATCAAATTGTTAATAAGAAAGATTTTAACTGAAGCGATAAAGATCAAATTTGTTAATTTTATCTTTTTGTATATCTGATTTTTTTTTTAAAAAAAAAAATCATTATGTTTATTTTTTCTTTAAAAAAATAGAAATTAGATCATGTTTGGTACAATGAAATGAAATGAAGTGGGAATGAAATGTGAGTGAGAATGGAATACAAGGTTTGGTTGCATCATGAAATGACATAGGAATATGATGATAATTCACATTCTCATGTTTGGTTATGGCTATTATACTAATAGAATGTAATAAGTTTTTATTATTTATTTATCTTTTGAACAAGCAAGTAACAAATAAATAAAAAAATTCACATAAATCATGATAGTATTGATAGTTGTGGAAGTGATAGTGTGAGTGATGGCAGTGGTGGTGGCAGCGGCAGCTTCTATGGTGGTGATAGCAGTGGTAGTAGGATAGTGGTAGTGGTAGTAGTAGGTCATTGTAGCATTAGTGGTGGTGGTGGTAAGGTGGTGTTGTGGTGGTTGTGGCGGCAGGCAACGGTAGTAAAGTGGTGGTTCTCATGATGGAGGTGATTGTTGTAGCGGCAGTGGCGATGGCAGTGGTGGGCAACGGTGGTAGAGTGATGGTTCTCGCGATGGTAGTGGTGGTAATAATGGTAAACGAATCAGATTTTTTGGGGTTTTCTCGCTAACTTTTGCTTTTAAACTCAATTATTTTAGTGATACAATTTGATATTTTACTATAAACTTGATAGTTTTAACATACATACCGCTATACTCTACCCTACCCAATCAATACTCTATCAAACCATTTAAATTAAAATTGGGGTGGAGCAAATACAATCAAGTCAGGGGATTTTGTCATGGGAAACTTACGCGTAGGTCCTATAATAATTAATAGCATTTTTCATCAAACACTATTAAAAAACATCGTTAATCATAAGTTTTAGTGACAGTTTAAATAAATCGTTACAAAAAAATATCACTAATTTTCAACTTTCAGCGACACTTTGAAAAATTCATTACAGAAAAACGTCACTAATTATAAGTTTTGATGACAATTTATAAAAATCATGACAAAAAAAATCACTAATTGTCAATTTTTAGCGACATGTAAAAAATCGTCACAAAAAATTATTTTTAGTAATGATTTTACTAGGAAATATTTTCAATAAGATTTGATGGAAATTAAGTTCAACTATTAAGATTTATTGGTAGTTTATCCTTTTGCCATCCTAGGCAGTGTTGTAGTAGTGGAGGCAGTGGTGGTTGTGGGAGTTGTGGTAGTAAGTAGTGATTCTAACAATGGTAATGGTGCTAGTTTTATGGTTGTAGATGTTGTGGTAATGGTTGTGACAGTAGTAGTGATAGTAGTAGCGACATCGGTAGTACAATGGTGGTAGTATAGTGGTGTGGTGGTTGTGGAGTTGATGGATGGAACCAGGATTTTATTATCGGAGGGGCCAAAAGAATAATAATATTTTTTTATCATATATACAAATACACATGTATGTACAATATGATATATAAATTGTATATATACATTAAAAAAATTATAAACCATAGAAGCAATCTCTAATAGGATGAAGAAGTTTTTTTGGTGCAAAATAGAAAGAGAATGCAAGATGGGAGAAGATTTTATATTGGACGGCAATTTTATGTATGAAATGGTATATATATATTTTTAAAGTACTATCGTAAACAGTATTTTTCACAGAAACAGGAAGGCCATGACCCCCTATAATCTTCTTCTAGTTTCACCCCTAGTGGTAGTAGTTGTGGCGGTGATGGTAGTGATAGTTGTAGTAGTGGTAGTAGAAGGGAATGATGGTGAAAGCTAAATGATAAATTTTTTTTTTTATAGTACAAAAAAAAAAATGATTAGATTTTGTACTGATTCCATGATAAAATACAATGTCCATTCCTTAGGTTGAAGGAAGGAATAAGCATTCTCACATTTTATTGGAATAGTCATTTCCCACTTAGATAAGACGTACCAAAAAAGAAAAAGGGAAAGGAAATATAAAGTTAGAATGGGCATTCCATTCCAGCTTATTCCATCATACCAAATGTGCTCTTAGGGAAATGAGTAAATGAGATTCTAGAGAATGCCACAGAAAAGAGAGTACTTTAGAGTTTAATATTAAGAGTTTAGAGGTCTCTAACGTTTCATACTATATTCTTATAATATATAAAAGATAGATTTTCCACTCTCCACTGCTGTTGTAAATTGCAGTCAGTTCCTACTAATCTGTAAGCTTCTTCTACTGCCCTCACTGGGTAGTAATTTCCCCATAAAAATATTTGAACATCTGACACAACTGCTTAGATTGACATAATTGCAAGGTCACCCATTACTGTTAAGAGCAGCAAATCCACATCATTTTATAGTTTGATCCTGGCTTGTTAGTTGCCGAATTTCATTGTTAAGTGTCGATGGGGTATGCTTACGCAGTGTGGATGAGAATTGGACCAAGCTGTGATTGATTCACATAAATTGTGCTCACCTCAACCAACCAAGTTTCCGAGCTTTGAGGTCGTGCAATGGTTACATGAGCCATGGCTGCCAAACTGTGCACACCTTTAAGCCCTTCCAGTTGAGGCAGGGAAGCATTAGTGCTTGTCATTTCAATCGATCCTTGAACACACAATGTACTGATTTCATACCCAAATCTATATGAGCCATGTTTGTCATTGTGTGTACCGATTACCACCCTAGGTGATTGTGGATCGGAGCCTCGCACTTGGCTGGACTATCCGAGAATTGAGACCTTGCAACAATAAGCTCTGTTAGAGCTGCCCGGCCAGGATTGGCCGGATAACCCCTCCGATGTGGGAGTAAGTAATCGGAGAAGATGAGAGGCCCTCTTTAGGTGTAGAGAGTTATGTTTAAGTGAGTATGATTCAGCTTAGATCAGTTACCTTCAATGTGAAATTAGTATAGTTTATACAGAACCCTTTACTTGTTGCCCAAGATAGTTTCATGGAACTTTGGTGTTGCTAAGTTTCCTTTTAGCATTGCCTCAGGTGGGGGACCATCTGGTAGCTAACCAAGGGTGTATATACTCATTGTAACCACGCTTGTAACAGATCACATTCCTTCTATCAACTGTTTCTGTGATTCTAGGGGGAGGAGACCAGCTGAGGTGGCATCCTTCATGTGCTTGCATTCACAACTTCCACGTTTCTCTAACAAATCCCTTTAGCTTGGTCTCTAACAGGCCCTCTTCGAGATTGCTCGTAGAGATGGGCCGGCCCAGTATGATATCCTTGTGTGGGTTTGGCCCCTTTTGGGTTCGGACCAAAGGTTAGGTCCTGCGGCTCGACTCAATCCAGTATCATGGCTGGATTGACCTTTCCACTACAGGTTGGACCCAAATGCTTGAGGACTCGGGTGGATTGTTGACGACGTAATTGAGCTAATCTGACAAGTCCACTTGCTTATCCTGCTTCTCAGGTCTTGAGTCTAATAGATTGGGCCGGCCCAAGGCTTGGGTCCGACCCATTTTATATTTAGCTCCTACAGTCATGAAACTTGACTTTGAATAGAATTGTTGGACAATCTTATGTGTACCAATGTGTTAATGTATACATCAGAAACTGATTATATCGGGATCAATATAGATATTTTGTTTTTTCACAGGAACTGTTTGTGTAAAGACATGAACTTCCTTTCAGTCTTGAGCAAGCAGTTATTATTATATATATATAACTGCTATATGATACCCTTGGAAAATCTTAAGGAAAACTCTTGCCTGCATATTCCTACTAGTACATATAAAAACAGACAAAAGCAATTAAGTGTCATACAAACATATTTTGCATTTGCAGAGTCTGGCCTGCAAAATTCCTTACCATAGCTTCAATGAACAAAAGAAAGCAAAAGGGCATAGAAGAGACCCGTCCTCATCCATCAAATTCTGTTTTCTTTAGTTTTTATTTTTATTTCTAACAAAATTGAAGCATATACTAATATATAATACACCAACATGTGCATGCATGTGCATGCATCTGCAAAGACCGTGGAATTCAAACAAACTGAAACTGCATAAGAAGCTTTGAAGACTTAAGTTTCTCTCCATTTTTTTCATACAGAGGGACTGCCCTGATCCCTGGTCTCAGCTCTGAGACAGGCAAACACGTCTGCCCACCAAAGTCATCCTTCTCCGATCTGTCGTGTTCTCGTACTTCAATTCGAAGCAGAGCCAGCTCTGGAACCGTCAATGGAAATATGAATTCTTCATCCCAAACAGGTGTCCAGTCATCATCAATTACCTTCGTTTTCTTCTTGGCTTCATCTGCTGGCACTCCTACTATATAAACCTGTCATACAGTTTTAGCGGCAGATAGGTATGAATTTCTTGGCTTTCCCAACTCACTCCACCACAAAAATATAACACAAATTGTATACACCTAAGTAGATGAATCTGAATCCTATTCAGTATCAACTCTTAAAAGATACTAACACAAGCATTTGGAGTTAAAAATCTTTATAGTTTGAAATTTTTCAAAGCTGTACTTGATTATTATATAAACCAATCAGCTAATAGAATGCAAAATGTGCATTATTATTACATACATTAATCAAAGTTCATCAACCATAAACCATTACATCACAAATGTCAAAAGCATTAGATTCAATAATAAATAGATCACCAATAAAAAATATATATATATAAATCTCCACTATTTTGTTAAGAAATAATAATATGGTGTTACTATCTACCAAAAGTCTGAGCCAAAAATTCTAAAAAATCAATGCAAATCAAAACAGGTAATAGGAAACACTAGCAAGATGAGTGAGGAGATTGATTTTTCAAGGAGATGAGTTGTTTTTAAGGCATATCTAAATTTGAACATGTTATGAAAAGTTGATAATTTTTATTCAATTTTCACACTTTTGTTCTCAAAAACTATACTTTGACCACCAAACCACCTTTCTAAAATTATAATAAAACCCCAAATGTGTCATGTGACACGTTCGAACATAGGACATGCGTGTCCCACGAAAATAAAATAAAATAAATTTGACATGCTAAATGACGTGTCCCAACATATCCGAGGCATGTGTGTTTGACTGTCGGAAAACAGATTCTGTGACTAAAATGGAATGCCCATGGTTCATAGCATTTCCCCCCTAGGTTCTTGACTTTTACCATACTTTTACCCGTAAATTCTGAAATTCGGATAGAATCGCCACCTCCTCCAGATTAGTTTACAAAATGTGGATGTCTCCCTTGGTAAAAGTCCCGTTTGGTTTAGCTTTGAAATTAGTTTTGAAAATTCAAAACCTGTTTGGTCATGAGTTTTCAAAAGTAGTTTTTGAGTTATATATTTTCAAAATAGTTTTTAGAAAATTGAATTCAAAACTTGTTTGGTTATGAGTTTTCAAAACTCAATATTGAGTTTTTTTGGGTCTTGTGCGTTTTTTTGTCTTGTAGTCAAAAATTTTGTTACAATATTATAGTTAAATTTGTTTACTTCTTTCATATACATAATCTAACTGTACATTTTAGATGCATCTAATCTAATCTATATGATAGAGTTTCACTAAGTATTTACTATTTTTTATAAACATTTTAAAAATTTTAACACATCTTTTTGGTTTTATATCTAATCTTTCACATCTTTTTTTTACTGCTTAAGTATATGTAGATCATTTACATCTAAAACATAAACCAAACAAAGCTTTAAAAGTTATTTAAGAATAAGACACAGGTCTATTGAATTAAAATGTAGCTGATTTTTTTCACTAATTGAAAAATAATAACATATTAATTCCAAATAACAATGCATATTGTTTCAATTTTTTATATGAATTGGCAATAACCTTCATTACAAAGTTTGATGTCCTTAAAAAAAATCTACAAGTAAAACAATTTTATAACAAGAAGTAGGACAAAACGACTACCTTTCATCAACATACACATCGGTGAAAGGGCTCTGAGAAATTTGCGTTTCGAGCAGAGAAAGGGCTGAAGATGAGCGAGAGAGAGAGAGAGAGAGAGAGAGAGAGAGAGAGGTTCAATTTGGGGCTCTGAGAAGACACTGGTTCGTGGGCTTGGGTTTTGGGTTTCAAAAATTGTTTGTGAAAACCCAAAACTAGTTTGGTTTTGGGTTTTGGGTTTTGAAGAATAGATTTGAAATATATTTTGGGTTTTGGGTTTTCAAAAATGGATTAAAAAATGCATCCAAACGGGCTGGAAAAATTATTAATCTTATAGTTTAACAGTCATGATCACAGAACGGTACCATATTGAGTGGGTGGGTTTTAAGTTGACTATAATATGTACATGAATCACGAGACATGCTACTTATCCTAGCAAAGCCCTCCATATTATCCTTCTTTTTTGGTTCAATGGCGATGAACTACATAATGGGGGTAGCCCTCCCTGCCCATGACCCCACCTCCACTTGGATGAAGACGGGACTTGATGCCAAATCTCTGGCACACTTACTAAGAGACTTTACCAGTTAAGCTAGCTAATGTTGGAATTAGATTTATATTAGAATAATATGTAAATCCCATGATACTTCCAATCATGAAATATTAGGAGATTTCTTTCTATATTCGTTCCTTTCTTTTTTTTCTTCTTATTTCCATTTCTATGATTATATTACTCCATTATATATAAAAGGCAATACCTTGATCAAAGGTAAGCCAATTTTCTCTTCATTCTTCTTGGTAACACAGAATTTTTTGTTCTCTTCTTGGTCTTTAGGGCTACTGGTGTGTTCGGTAACATTTTTTGTTGGATTGCCATGTCTCTAGCTCTCTTTGTTCTCTTTTGTGTGTTGTGCTTTATTGTTCACAATGATGGATGCTACTGACGTAGTTGAGGCTATGGGTGAGGGAGCTAGCAATGCAGTGCAACCCGATGTTACTTCTCAGTCAGTTCCTGCTCATCATATCACCAGTGCTCTACTGAATGGGTAAAATTTTGCCACCTGGAGTTGCTCCCTTCGTCTGTACTTGGGTGGCAAAGGTAAATGATCCCAAGCTTACTTAATGGGAGATTGATAATTGTACTATTTTGAGTTGGATTTTCAACTCCATGGAACAACGTATTTATAATATGTTTATGTATTGTGATACAGTTCCTCGCCTTTGGAGCACTTTGACACAGATGTATGCCCATGCTGGCAATGATTCTTGTATTTTTGAGCTCCTTTGGAGAGCTTTGACACAAACGTATGCCCATGCCTGTAATGATTCTCATTTTTGAGCTAAATCAAGATATTTCCCGTGTATCTTAGGAGGCCCTAGTTTTCTCTATGGCAGAGCTTTTTGGTTACTTACAATCTCGATGGGAGGAGTTAGCATAGTACGAGTCATTGAGTGACATTCTTGTTGAGGCCGCATCTATTGTGCTCAAATGTCTTGGTAGGCAATATACTTATTAGTTCTTGATGTGTTTAAAACTTGAGTTCAAATCTCTTCAGATTTAGATTTTAAACACCTCTCCTATGCCATTTCTGTAAGAAGCGTTTGATACAATTGATAGTGAGAAGGACCACCGTCGCCTAGTTCAGCCTATTCCTTTACTTTCAGAGTCTACCCCTTCTGACCAAATGGCTCTTGTTGCCAATTCTAGATCTCGTGCTCCGCTTGGGAAAGTTGTATGCCACCATTGCGGGGAAACTGGGCATATTAAAGCCCAATGCTTCAATCCGGAGTTGAAGCAACGATTTGCTCAGACTCGAACCTCTAGCCCTTCTCGTACTACAGCTATTGTCCAGACCACGGACACAACTAATATTCACTGGTTACAGTCCCAGATTGGGGAAATTTAGGAACAACTTGGTTCTCTCACTGCTTGAGCTCAAAGTATACCCTCATCGTCGACTACTACCCTTGCCAGAGGTATTCCTACTGCTTTTCATGTTTGGTTTGCCAAACCTACTTGGGTTATAGATTCTGGAGCAAATGATCATATGACTGGTGAGTCGTCCTTCCTCTCTTCTTCTGCCTCTATTCAAAATCAGAATGTCTGTCTAGCTAATGGTTCCACTGCTTGTGTTAGTCATAAGGGTGATGTATCTCTAGCTTGTGATATTACATTGTCCTCTCTGTCCTTTGCATTCCTCATTTTGCTTATAATCTATTATCAATGAGTCGACTTGCTAAGAATCTTAATTGTGCAGTCATTTTCTTACCTACTCATTATGTGTTACAGAATCTGAGTTCGAACAAAATTTTTGGCAAGGGATACGAGTGCAATGGGTTATGTTACTTCAAAGAGAACCTCCATCACCACATTCTACTATCTCGAGTCTGCAAGCATCTGTCTTACCATAGTCTAATTCTTATGTTTTTTACTTTTCAAACATTGAGTCTATGGCATGCTCGCTTAGGACATGCAAATTTTCACTACTGATGTCTTTTTATTTCTGTCATTTAATAAAGCTTGCATATTCTAAATTTCAGTGTGTGGTGTGTGAATTGTCTAAACATACTTGCACTAGTTATATTCCTCATATGTATCGTGCTTCTAGTATTTTTTATTTAATTCACTCTGATGTTTCGGGACCATCTCCTATTATTGCTTTCGTTGGTCACCGATATTATGTGACCTTTATTGATGATCATTTGTGTTGTACTTGGATTTATTTGCTTAAAAATAAATATGATGTGTTACCTTTCTTTACTTAGTTTCTTCAGATGATTAAAACTCAATTTTGTACCACTGTTCGGAACATGCGGTCTAACAATGGAAGGGGGGAGGGGGGAACATATTTATGATGCTTTTTGTTCTCATCATAATAAAAAGGGGATTCTCCAACAACTTATTTGCAGTTATACCTTTGATCCTTCTTTGAGGTATGATTGTTCCCAAGTCTTATTGGCACATGGCTGTTCTTACAGCTATTTATCTTATCAATAGGACTCCTAATCAGGTTTTGAAGGGTTTGGCTCCTGTTCAAGTACCTTAGCCAGATATCACTTTATTTTTTATCTTGCCTCGGGTATTTGGTTAGACTTGCTCTATTCAAAATAAGAGTCCTATTCAAACCAAACTTGATGATAAGTTGATTAGATGTATCTTCTTGGGCTACTCTACGATGTCCAAGGGGTACCTGTGTCATGATCCTATTTCTCGTCGCTTACAGTATATCATTCTCTGGATATGACCTTTTTTGAAGATGTCCCTTTCTATGGTCCTAATCCATTATTGCAGGAACATGTCCCTCATGCGTCTGTGGAGGATGTTAAACCCAATGCCCATCCTATTCACGTCTTTGTCTGTTCTTCCTCATCCTCAGTGGCACCACCTCCTTCCCAGTTGCCTAAGCTTGTGTCTCCATTGAGTGCTTATCCTTTGCAAATTTTCTCTCGTCACCCTCGCACTCTGCCCCCTCCAAAGCCTCTCTGGGCATTAAGTTCAGGTATTCCTTCTCTCATAGTTTTTTTATTTATCCCATCCATCTCCTCGTTACCCTTCCAGTGATCGTCATCCTCTGTCCTGTTATAGTTGGTTTAGTACTACTAATCACCCTATTTTCCAATATCTCTCTTATTTATGATGGTCTTTCAAATTCTTACTGGGCATTTCTTAGCCATCTTGAGTTTGTGTCTATTCCTCAATCAGTGTCTGAGGCTCTCAAGCACCCCAAGTGGGTTGCCACTACGCAAACTGAAACAATTGCTTGACTTGGGATCTTGTGCCACTTCCTCTTGGCGAAATGACCGTGGGCTATAAATGGGTGTTGTGTGAAATACCTTGCTAATGTTCTGGGAAGCACTATAAGGCGCACCTAGTTGCCAAAGGATTTGCTCAAATACCACATAAGGACTTCGGTGCTACTTTTGCTCTTGTTGCGAAGTTAACTATAGTTTGTCTTCTTTTATCCTTGGCCACAACACATTCTTGGCCTCTTTATCAACGGGACATCAAAAATGCTTTTCTTCATGGGAACTTACTTGAGACTATTTTTATGGATCCTCCACCTGGATTTCGGGCTAAGGGAGAGTATGCTAGGAAAGTTTGTCGTCTTTGGAAATCTCTATATGGTCTGAAACACTCACTGCAGGTATGGTTTAGTCGCTTTAGTATTGTTATCCTATCGTTGGGCTTTGTCCAATGTTAGTCGGATCATACTTGCTTCATTTGTCGACATTTTAGTGGTCGGTGTATATCATTCTGTTGGTGTATGTTGAAGATATTATTCTCATAGGAGATCATATATCAAGTATTGCTTAGGTGAAATAGGATCTTCATAAGGCATTTAAGAATAAGGACTTGGGACCTCTCAAGTATTTTCTTGGTCTTAAGCTATGAAGCACGGACACACACGGATACGTGACATGATACGGACACGGACACATGGACACGTAAATTTTTTTAAAATGAGGGACACCACATGTTGGAGACACGCTCAATATATATATATATTTATTATATGTAAAATTAAAAATATATATATTATTTTTATTTATATTATTTATTTTAATATCAAATATCATTCATAAATTAATTTTTTTTTTACAAATAAAAATAATTAATGTTTAACAAACAAGAATATTAAAAATTAAAAAAAAAAAGTAAAAGAGGGGAGAAAAAAGATTTTTTTGTTACCAAAAATAAAATAGGTAAAAAAAATAATAATAAAAAATAAAGAAGAGGAGAGAGAGACGCCAGTCTTTATTTGGGTGGATATGAGAGAGACAGACAATAAAACACAAAAAAGAGGAGAGAAAGAGAGTTGAACAAAGAAGCAAGAGAAGGAGAATCAAACAGAGAAAGGGGAGAGATGAACACAGCAAGAGAGAGAGAGAGAGAGACAAAAGAAACGAAACATGTCCAAGAGGGACACATTAGGTAGAGTGTCTGATATGTGTCCACCGCGTGTCCGTGTCCGACACTTGTCGGACACTCATACGTTGCCTCCAAAGAGGTGTCCGAGCGTCATAGGTCTTGAGGTTGCAAGGTCCCATCATGGGATTTCTCTTTCTTAGAGGACGTATACACTTGATGTTCTTAAAGATACTAGCATGTCAGGCTGCAAACTGGCTTTTACTCCCTATAGATCCCAACCTCAAAATCTCAACTGAATTTGTGGGGCAATTGTTGAATCCATCTATGTATCAACATCCTGTTGGACATTTGATTTACTTGACTAACACTAGACCTGATTTGACCTTTGCAGTTAGTGTTGTTAGTCAATTCATGCATGCTCCTTGATTAGCTAATTTGGATGCGGTCCATATCTTGAGATATCTCAAGACCTGTTCAGGATTAGGCTTATTTTTCTCAACTGGTATTCAGTCTATTCCACCGATGTTGATTATGCTGGCTCTCAGACAAACAGACATTCTACATCCAGTTTCTACACTCTCTATGGTAAGCATCTCTTATAATGGAAAAGTAAGAGGCATGCCATTGTTTCTAGATCTTCAGCGGAGGCTGAATAGCGGGCGCTATGGCTTAGGGTACCTATGAGATACTCTGGCTTCAATCTATTCTGACTGGCTAGGATTTCCAGAGGATCAGTCTTCTCAACTATTTTGTGGCAATAAGTCAGCCATCATTGTCTCATCAGATTCTATTCTTCATGAGAGGTCCAAACATATAGAGGTGGATATTCATTTCATTTGGGAGAAAATCTGATCAAGCATAGTGGCTTGTTCGTTTGGTCCATAATCAGAACAGACTGTCGATATATTCACCAAATCAGTGGGTCCAACCCTACTTCAGTCTTCTATTGTCAGTTTGGTTAATATCTTTGACCCAGCTTGAAGGGGAGTGTTGGAATTAGAATAATATGTAAATCCCAAGATGCTTCAATCACGGGATTATATGTAAATCCCATGGTTAATATCTTTCTTCTTATTTCCTTTTCTATGATTGTATTACTTCATTATATACACAAGGTAATAACTTGATCAAAGGTAAGCCAATTTTCTCTTCATTCTTCTTTGCCTTCCCGTATGTTCATTTCTTTAACCATTCTAACGTCAGTGTCTGCTCCCCCATACATATCTCATAAATAACATAAAACATAGCATTATAGCAAGATATGGATTTTTATAGCAATTTTTAGGTTTGGTAGAAACTTGGAAGAGGAAAAACAATATTTACCCCGACTAACCTTTGTGTAGAAGTCTGGGGGTGAGTATGAATCAAAGTGTGTAAGGCTAAAATCTAGATGCCATCCATATCCCATGTATACTCTCACCTGTTAAGAGAGAGAGCGAGAGAGAAGAAGAAGAAGAAGATAAATGCTCTAGGATGCTGCATCAGACAAATGAAATTCACCAAGAAGCCATGTCAATTTACTAACCTTTAAAGTTTTCTTCACCAGCAGTGCTGTTATAGGATTAAATACCTCATTATTTGGACCGTTCATCATGAGAAAATCAGGTTTCTTCACATAACCACACTCTCCATTGGATCTGAACATCCCATGCATCAAGCAGAGTGATTTTCCATATCCCTATTCCAACCCCCAAAAATAAAAATAAAAACAAAAACAAAGAAACAAACAAAAACAAAATATAAGACATGAGAAAACAAATTAAAAGACATTAACTAACTTTTTATTAGGTTGTCTGCCATTTGTTTATTCGGAGGGAATAGAGGGGGATTGCAGAGGATTATACATAATTGCCGATATCATAGAGGATATGGCACCACATAAATCTGAATAGTGAAAAAGATATCAAGTACATGCCAAGTACACCAAATCAAAGGCTTCCAAAACTTGGTGTGTAATGTGTCAAATACTGGTTAGTAAGATACTGCAACATCTGGAGTTTTGGACAAAAGTAATGCTTATCAGAGCCTAGAGAGTTGAAATTGCCCCAAGTCTTAATTCATGTGACCAAGGCACACATGACAGTATCAGTCTATGTTACATGGACTTGGGTATGAACATCGGGTGCAAATATGTGTCCAAGCATTAGATCTTCCTAAACCAAAATCCTAGGATATTGGGATATGTATCAAAAAGTTGAGTATGGGTACTGGATCACATCTTAAACACTTAAATACATTGCATATTGTATAATATTCTTAGATAAAGATGCTGCAAATTATTTAGAGCTGTACTTCAAATTAAATGAGAATTAGGGAAAATATGAAATTTATATCTTCCATTCATGTGATAAATTACAAAATTTTCTTTACTAGTGAATAAGAGTGTCTTTCTTCAAAATCATATAAAAGTAGAAGATCTAAGTGTCTAAATCGGGTATGGGTAAACCAAACCAAACAAAACCAGACTAAGCCAAGCCTTAAGTCCCATCAAATGGAGTCGGCTACATGAATCTTTATTCTCCACTCTACTCTATCAAAGGCCGTTTGGTTAGTCAAATTAAGGAGATTCATATATCTATTTACTACACTAACCCACGTCAATCTGGGTCTGCTCATTTCCCTTACACTTCTCTCTACTATCACTGTATTACATCTCTTCACTACTACATCTATTGGTCTCCGTTGTATATGACCAAACTATCTGAATTTATTCTCTCTTAACTTATCTGCTATCTGTACTACTCCTACCCATTCACGAATATACTCATTCTTAACGCTGTCTTTCCTAGTCATGTCACATATCCACCTTAACATCTTCATCTTGGCACTCATCTCATCTACATGTTATTTCTTAGTTGCCTAACATTTCGTCCTATAAATATTGCTGGTCTAATAGCCATTTTATAAAACTTTCCTTTTAATCTAGTGAGTACTCGTTTATCGCATAATACCCTAAACGCACTCCTCCACTTAAGCCACCCCGCCCTAATTTTGCGGATCACATTTGCTCCAATCTCTCCATCCATTGTGATAATTGATCCTAAATAACAAAAAAATTCACTCTTAGGTAGTTCTTGATTCTTAATCTTCACATCTCTGCTGTTTTCATTGTTACTATTACTAAAATTATACTCCATGTACTCTGTCTTAGTTTTGCTTATCTTAAATTTTTTAGATTCAAGTGTTTTTCTCTAAATCTCCAACCTAGTGTTAATTCTTTCTCTAGTCTCACCCACTAACACGATATCATCTGCAAAAAGCATATATCATGGCACATCATCCTGAATATTTCTTATCAACTCATCTATAACTAAAGTAAAAAGATGAGGACTTAACGTTGATCCTTGGTGTATCTCCACACCCTTACCCTTATTATATCTAATGGACACAGGTACAGTAGGAAAAGTAGAAGAGTCCATGTAGCACAGTTCTTTCCTTCAAATAAACCCATTTCCTTTCTTCCTTTCTTCTGTTGTTCTACAAAGTCCAGCAGGCAATGTGTACTTACAAATTTTACATAGATCACCAAGTTTCAGTTCTAACATTTTACCTGATTCTTTCCTCTGTCAACAATTAACTTACATACACTTGCTTGTAACTGAACTTTTGACAGACATACTTCAGATGAGAAGATTGCCTCTTCCTGTACCCCCAGCAACAAAGTGCAGGCAGCAAAGTGCAGAAACAAATCAAAAATATGACATGAAATCTATAGAAAGAAAAAGGCCCCCCATACCTAGAATCTAGATTCTTGGCAAAGAAAAATGCAAGTATCGGCAGTTTTAAGAATTTTAATGGGGAATGAAGGAACAATAACAAAACAGCAAAACCTGTTTTGCATGAAAAAATCATTTCCTACTATAGATAGTCTCGGTTGCATTACGGCAACTACATAGTACTACAAGTCCTATGAAAGTTTGTGAGGATATATTTAATTGATGTGCGTGCTACTATAACTAATTTAACCACATGCAACCATAAATGGATGCTGACTGCTAAGGGGTGTGCTGCATGCTTATATGTCAACACAAATATATTTGTAAGATGTCCTAGCTAGGCTTGCTACAAAATATAGTCTACAATATTTGTAGTCACCAAATATTCTTAGTTTCTAAATTTGAGTCAGTAGTCCTTATAAAAGCAAGTCACCAAATATTCTTAGTTTCTAAATTTGAGTCAGTAGTCCTTATAAAAGCAAGAAAGTTTTTATATAATTTTGTGTGTAATCTCAATAATTCAATGAAGAGATGATATTATGAGAATTTGAGATTGCATTTGTGTGATTGGCCTAACCCTTGTTTCATCTTTGCACAGATACCCTAGTTACTTTTTATCCCAAAAAAAAAAAAAAAACAAACAAAAAAAACAAAAAACAAAAATTAACCCCGATCCCTACTCCTATCCTACCCATTAGCCTTCATTTTAACCATTAAAACCCTAAATTACTCACTGTTTGGGCCTTTGAATAGCCTAAGTTTTAAAAATCCAGCAAATTCTCCTACATCATTAAATATTTATGTAATCTTTTAACTCAATAAGAGTTGACATAAGAATTTGAGATTGTGATTGTCTAAGTTTGCTTAACCCTTGAGTGGGTGAAACACTTCTTCTCTTCAAAGGAAAGCAAGATACTAATCTGGGGTTACTAATCACAACCTAAGAAGGATCTCCCTGCCCCAGAAACTTAGTCAATTACATCCGGATCAACCAAACTGTTTCTCCCACACTTTGGCCTTGACTCCATACCATAATACCATAAATAGCTTCCATCCAAAGAATTTCAGCAGCTTGATTTTTAAAATCCAGTGAGTTGTCCCTTTGGAACAAAGCCGAATTCAGTCCCTTTCCCTAACAAACCCTAGAACTTCTCTTCAACCTTTTAGAACCCGAACCATACAAACCTTTCCTAACCTTAACCAAGTACAAAAATTAATTGTAGCCAGATTTATTCCAGGTTTCATTCTACATCATTAACTGATCAAACCACACAAGATTAAGAAATAGAGAAAATATTACCAAAGCTAACCAAAAAAACATGAATAACATGATTTTATGAAGACACAAGACTTCAAAACTAACCTGCAGATTAAATGCAACCATCTGAGCTCCATGCATCCATGCAGTAAGTGGATTGAAATTTGAGGAGGTGACTCGGGTCGCCTTTGGGTATACCCTCAGAAAATTCTTCTGTGTGAACCTAAGGGGACAAGAGAGAAAAGATTAATAAAAACAATAGAGATCTAATCACTCACTGGAGTGAAAATATAAATGTTTTAAGATAATTCTTAGAGATATTAAGCACATAGAACTTCAGTGACTACCTCACAAGGTCAGTTCCATAAGATTCTGCTGCCTTCTCAAGTGCTGTTTCACTCAAACTAAGACGTTTAATTCTTTCAATTCCAGCCCTCAAAGCCTCTTTCAATCCATTCTTTGGCTTCCCAGCATGAATTGCAATCAGATGCTTGTATTGGCGTGCTCCTAACTGGCATGATTTCTGCTCACAGCCATCACTGCCTTCATCATCCTGATCGGTGTCGTCCTGTTAACCATGACAAAATTCTAACATGTTAAAGTAATTGAGCACCTTAGAAATTATAACAGAATGAAGTAAATTTCATTTCTAGATTATAAGCTGATGAAATAAATTTATTTCTGAGCTCACGCTGTCATCAGGATCCAGCTCAGCTGCAAGGTCTGGTGACTCCTTTCCCGATGCTGCTTCAGTAGATGAATCCTTCTCAGTTGGACCCTCAGATTCAAGATATTCTTTTGGTGGTTTGGTTGAAAGAATAATCCGATGCTTTAAGGCTTCTGGTGAAGGGAATTCTTCCAAGCACCCTGACGCAGGGTAATATAATAGTTCTCCAAATGTTTCAATGACCATCTATAGGAAGATTTAGTTTTTATTACAATAGAAACATTGAAATCAATTCATATTTTTGTAATTTAAAATCATGAAGGTAAAAAGAAAAAAAAGAATTAAAGCCAACCTCTGCAACCTTAGCTTGAAGGTCCGCTGTAAGGTGGTCCTCCAAAGTTACTATAACAGGGTATGGAGATTTAACAAAAGCATATTCTTTAATGGACTGCAAGCATTTGATGAGTGTCACAGGAGCCGTTAAGGTCCTAGATTCATTCAGAAGTTGAGATTATTCCAAACATAAACATAAGTCAATAATGAACTTAGGAAACTGAATGTAATTCAAAATATTTAGTAAATTCATATTTAAGATTAAAATTTATAATCTATATTGCAAATGCAATGGGATCAGGCAATCCCTACAAAAATTACCTGATATGAGTGTATAACTAACAATTATGCCAACACAGAATATCACTTGGATAGTGTCCTAAATTCTCCAATAGTTTTGGTTTACAATTATGATATCATTTATGATATGGTAAGACTAGACAGGACATGATTAGGAATGAGTGTATTCGGGAATGGGTAGGAGTAGCACCGATAGAAGATAAGTTGAGAGAGAATCGTTTGAGATGGTTTGGTCATATTCAACGGAGACCAACAGAGGCAGTTGTGAAGAGATGCGATGCTGTAACGGTAGATGGAAGTGTTAGGCGACGGGGTAGGCCTAGATTAACGTTGACTAGCGTTATAAATAGTGATATGAATCTACTTAATTTGACTAATGAAATGGCCTTTGATAGGGCCGCGTGGAGAAGAAGGATTTATGTAGCCGACCCCATTTGATGGGACTTAAGGCTTCGTTTGGTTTGGTTTGCATAAACAATCAACATTGGGATTATTAATATCAAGGCAACAAATGGTAAATTATTTATAGGTGACTCCAATAAATGTAATAAGCTATTCTAAAGTCTTCTTTGCTAGAATTAATTTATTTATCAGTAAAAAATTAGTTTAGAATGTCAATTTTGAACATGACAAAGCACCGAATAGCCAAAACCACCACAGACCCCATTGCCAGAAGAGAAATAACCATCCAGTTGTTGCTGCTGTCTGAAGGAGAAATGAACATAGCTAGTGATGAGATCATACCAAGATTCTTGGTAACTGACCGCATTATACAAATGCTTACAACACCCAATACATTTATACGCACATCATGTCTCTAAATCTCTCATATTTCAACTCTATTCTTTCTCACATAATTCCAAATAAAAATTCCTTTTATCATTTTATCCCTATACCTTCTCTTCCTGTAAACTCTTTCCTCTACTAACATTATATCTCCTTCATTGTTCAAAATGGTGAAATGGGTATATATTTTGTCCATAGTTGTCAAATCGGGATTCAAATCGTGAATCGAAATGGCCTCATACTGAATCGCGAATCGAATCGTGAATCGTAAAGATTATGTCACTTTTCTAAATCACTTAGAAAAATATATTTACATACTTGGATGTTAAATATATCTTATGAATGTGAAATATTTAGATTTAAATCAATGAATATGTTATTTTGAATGATGATCACGTAGTTTTATAAGTAAAAAGTTAACAAAAGTTCCTATGGAAGATCACCATCTTACCTTTTTCCTTTTTTAGATATATTTTTATCAATCATTCTTAATAAAGACAGTAAACAAAGACAAAACTCTCAATTTCCAAAGTAATAATAATTTAACAACAATATTGAAATTTGAACAATAAGTATACATACTTTTCCAAGTAACAATAATCAAATAATAAGAAAAAATTATTTAGGATATTTTATTATAAAGCCTAAGACATTTTAAAAGGTATAAATTACCTCACCCATGAAATATTCAACTATATTTAGTAGTTGTTTGGCATGTGTTAAAATAGCACATGCTATTTTAGCACATTATCCTACTTAGGTCACAATCATTTATTTAAGTCACATCACATCTCTACCATATCACTTCAAACCCAACACATATTTCACATTTTTCGTAAAAAGTCAAAAAATATACTAATCTAGCACTTCCCAAACAATCCCTTAATTTAATAAAATAACAATAGATAATTCATAGTGCAAGTTACTTTAATCTTAAACATTTTTAGAATATATATTATGATTTTTTTAAAGAATAAAAATGAGAAAATATGTTAAAAATATGTTGGGTTTAACTGAACTTGATTGGCTATTATTAAAAACTCCATGATCACTAAAATAAGAACAAATCATGTATATATATTGATTATTTTGGTACTAAATGTTATTAGAAGTTATATTATGTAATTTTCACTAAAAAAAAGAGAAAAAAAAGAGTCAAAAATATGTCGGACACAATAGTTTTAAGAATTGCATGAATCGTAAAAAGCGAATCGATTGTGAATTGTGCGATTCATTAGAGATTCACTTCCAAAATAGATTCATTCATATATTTGTATCGATTTTGCAAAGAATCGTAAGATTCTGATAACATAGATTTTGTCCCTTTGGTTTGGGCTTAAAGTGTTTTAGGATTAAGAGTTTGTAAAGGTGGTGGGGGAGGAAAGAGATTGTTCTCATTATGGTGAGTGGGGCATTGGTTTGTCCTATTCTGTGGTGGTGTTGTGTTGATTGCCCGGATAAAAATGACCTTTTAAGGTAAAGACTCAACAAGAAATTTCTAATTTTACATAACTTAGTTATGAAGCTGAAGCTTGGAAGACGCGACTGTGGCGGCGGCTTGTCGACGACCTTCTGCTGAAGCTTGGAAGATGCAACTATGGTGATTATGATACAGTTGATGACGAAGCTGATTATATATGCAGAAGTTGAGGGTATAATAGTCCTATAAAATATTTAAATAATAAATTTTGTCCTTTATGCAAGACTTTATAATTATGAGGGGGTTTAGAAAGTATAATTTTTTTCTTAGTCCTTTTAACAATGAAAGGAAGGTAAAAGGGGTTTATAGCTAAATTTCCCAATTATTTATAGGTGACTCCAATAAATGTAATAAGTTATTCTAAAGTCTTCTTTGCTAGAATTAATTTATTTATCAGTAAAAAAGTAGTTTAAAATGTCAATTTTGAACATGACAAAGCACCGAATAGCCAAAACCACCAGAGACCCCATTGCCAGAAGAGAAATAACCATCCAGTTGTTGCTGCTGTCTTAAGGAGAAATGAACATAGCTAGTGATGAGATCATACCAAGATCCTTGGTAACTGACCGCATTATACAAATGCTTACAACACCCAATACATTTATATGCACATCATGTCTCTAAATCTCTCATATTTCAACTCTATTCTTTCTCACATACTTCCAAATAAAAATTCCTTTTATCATTTTATCCCTATACCTTCTCTTCCTGTAAACTCTTTCCTCTACTAACATTATATCTCCATTGTTCAAAATGGTGAAATGGGTATATATTTTGTCCATAGTTGTCAAATCCGGATTCAAATCGTGAATCGAAATGGCCTCATACTGAATCACGAATCGAATCGTGAATCGTAAACATTACGTCACTTTTCTAAATCACTTAGAAAAATATATTTACATACTTGGATGTTAAATATATCTTACGAATGTGAAATATTTAGATTTAAATCAATGAATATGTTATTTTGAATAATGATCACGGAGTTTTATAAGTAAAAAGTTAACAAAAGTTCCTATGGAAGATCACCATCTTACCTTTTTCCTTTTTTAGCTATTTTTTTATCAATCATTCTTAATAAAGACAGTAAACAAAGACAAAACTCTCAATTTCCAAAGTAATAATAATTTAACAGCAATATTGAAATTTAAACAATAAGTATACATACTTTTCCAAGTAACAATAATCAAATAATAAGAAAAAATTATTTAGGATATTTTATTATAAAGCCTAAGACATTTTAAAAGGTATAAATTATCTCACCCATGAAATATTCAACTATATTTAGTAGTTGTTTGGCATGTGCTAAAATAGCACATGCTATTTTAGCACATTATCCTATTTAGGTCACAATCATCTTATTTAAGTCACATCACATCTCTATCATATCACTTCAAACCCAACCCATATTTCACATTTTTCGTAAAAAGTCAAAAAGTATACTAATCTAGCACTTCCCAAACAATCCCTTAATTTAATAAAATAACAATAGATAATTCATGGTGTAAGTTACTTTAATCTTAAACATTTTTAGAATATATATTATGATTTTTTTAAAGGATAAAAATGAGAAAAAATGTTAAAAATATGTTGGGTTTAACTGAACCTGATTGGCTATTATTAAAAACTCCATGACCACTAAAATAAGAACAAATCATGTATATATATTGATTATTTTGGTACTAAATGCTATTAGAAGTTATATTATGTAATTTTCACTAAAAAATGGAGAAAAAAAGAGTCAAAAATATGTCGGACACAATAGTTTTAAAAATTGCATGAATCGTAAAAAGTGAATCGATTGTGAATTGTGCGATTCACTAGAGATTCACTTCCAAAATAGATTCATTCTTAGATTTGTATCGATTTTGCAAAGAATCGTAAGATTCTGATAGCATAGATTTTGTCCCTTTGGTTTGGGCTTAAAGTGTTTTAGGATTAAGAGTTTGTAAAGGTGGTGGGGGAGGAAAGAGATTGTTCTCATTATGGTGAGTGGGGCATTGGTTTGTCCTATTCTGTGGTGGTGTTGTGTTGATTGCCCGGATAAAAATGACCTTTTAAGGTAAAGACTCAACAAGAAATTTCTAATTTTACATAACTTAGTTATGAATAGTTTCTCATTTATTGCCTTAAATATAATAATCCCATCAATATTTGGTTCAAAAGAATATACATTACAAAGAAACCAACTTACTAAAAGCTTCCCCTTCCAAAATATGATTTAAAAGACAGCTTGCTAAAGATAAGATTTTATCATTCATGATATTCTTATCCATGACCAAGGTACACAAAAATGCCTTTCCAACACAACCATGACACAGGTAAACATCTATACTGTGAGAATATTGTGTATATATGTATATGGTATATATATATATATGAGAGATATTTTTGTTTCCTTTTTCGTCTTAGGGTTAGGAGTACTATATAATCAGATGTATCCCTTGTTTTTTTTGACACAATTGAATGTACAGTTCGTTCAAAAATCTTACATGGTATCAGAGCCGTCTTTGAGCCGAAACCCTAGAAATTATTTCTGTGTCGTCTTCCTCATCAAAATCTCACTAAGTCGTGATCCTCGGTGCTCTTCTTCATTGCGATCGAAACTCAGCCCTCTGGTTTTATCCCTCTGAATTGCAAGTCGTCCTTCGTGTCGTGTGGTTTATATCTCTGGTTCGTAACCCATAAAAACCCTTGTCGCGGCTTATCTAAGTTGAGAGGACTTTGGTCATCTATCTCTGCCTCTCTCGTGCCTCGTGCGAAGGTCTGCTCCCTTTCCATCTATTCGCCGTGGTCACTGTGCTTCGATAGTCGGTCTTCTCTCTCTAGTTCAGTCTCTCTTAGTTTGTTGCATCTCTGGTTCATTGACTTCACTTTTGTTTTTTGGTTTATATTTTGGGTTTATTACACTTAAACCCCTCAATTGTCTTTTCATCATCCTGTGACCTCTGGTTTGACTATTTGGCTCTATTATGGATTTATTACACTTGAACTCCTAATCTCTTTGATTATTACAATGTCTCTGGCTTTTGATGAGTGTGCCTTCTGCCATCAGCAATGTCATTGGAAGTATCACTGTCCCAACAAAGGATGTTTGTTTGCTTCGCCTGTATCTTCCTCGTCTTCTCAGCAGTTTCCAATCCAATTCTGTGCTCCTCTTCTGAGTACCGTTCGACCTTCCATCAGTACTATTGCATCCGCTCCGGCTCTTGATCCTGACTTAGCTTCCTTGACTACTCAGATTAGTCAGCTTCAGCATACACTAATTAGTCAACTTCAGCATGTATTGTCTACCTCCCAGCCATCCCTGTCTGCTTCCATTGTTTCCTCTCTTCATTCAGGTTTGCTTGGGTCTTCTTCAGGTATCTCTTTGTCTGTCTGGATTTTTGACTCTGGTACCTTTCATCATATGACTCCCCATCTCTTCTTACTTTAAAATTGTGCTCCTCCTTCTTTTCCTATTACTGTTAATGCTGTTAATGGGTCTGATATGTTTGTTATATCTGTTGGGTCTGTCTTACCGCCTGCTATGTCTGCTGTCTTTATTCCATCTGTTCTTTATGCTCCTCAGTTATCTGTCAATTTATTATCTATCAGTCAGCTTGATACCTCCGATTTTGATGTTATCTTTTTTTCTTCTATTTGTTCTGTGTAGAATCGGATGTCCAAACAGTAGATTGGGACTGACCGTAGAGTTGGAGACCTCTATATAGTGAAGAGCTTGCATCTGCCTATGACAACTTTTCCAACTGTTTTTTCCTCTTTTCAGTTAGATTCTCTGTCCAATCTTTTCTACTTGTGGCATTTTAGATTAGGACATTTGTTTACTGACCGCTTACAGTTTCTAGCTCAGTCATGTATATTGGGTAAAATTTCTCCTAGTGAACTTACTGAATGCTGGGAGTGTAAACTTGTCAAAATGGCAGCCTTACCTTTTCGTAAAAGTACTTCTATATCTGATACATCGTTTTCTTTAGTTTATACTGATGTTTGGGGCCTTTCTCCTATTCTCACCAAAGGGGGTTCTGCATACTATGTGTCATTTATTAATGACTACACCCGTTAAGCTTGGGTTTATCTTATGACTCATAAGTTCGATTTCTATCAGATATATTGTACCTTTTAGTCTATGATTACTACTCAGTTTGGGTCTACAATTAAAGTGTTACAGTCTGACTTGGGTGGAGAATATTTTTAAAATGAGTTCTGTGAGTATTTGGCCAATTTGGGTACCATTCACCAAACTTCCTGTACAGATATACCTGCCCAAAATGGTCAAGCCGAGCGTAAACACCGTCATCTCCTTGAGACAGCTAGGTCTCTTCTTCTCTCTGCCTCAGTTCAGTCTCCATTTTGGGGAGAAGCAGTTCTTATTGCTGCTTTTCTTCTTAACCGCATGCCTACTCCCATATATTAGACCAACCCAAATTCCTTACTACTCCCTCCTAATACATGTTTTTCTGCTTCCTATCGTACTTTTTTGTTTGCTATTCACGTTTTTTTAGAACCTCAATCTTACAAAGAGGCCTATCAGGATCCTCATCGGGTTCAAGCTATAGAGGATGAGTTGTCTACTTTACAGAAAACTAGTACTTGGGAGTTGATTCCTTTGCTTGTTGGTAAGAATCTAGTTGGTTGCAAATGGGTCTACAAAGTCAAGACTCATTTTGATGATGATTCTCTTGAGCGCTACAAAACTCGTCTGGTTGCCAAAGATTTTTCACAGGCGTATGGTATTGATTATGAGGAGACTTTTGCTCCTGTTGTCAAGATAACTAATGTCCATACTTTGATCTCTGTCGTTGCTGTTCGTTCTTGGCCTCTTTATCAGATGGATGTTAAGAAAGCTTTTCTTAATGGCCATCTCACTAAGGAGGTTTACATGCATCCTCCCCTGGCCTTCACCATTCCTTTGGACAGGTTTGTCGTCTTCAACATGCTCTGTATAGTCTGAAGCAGTCTCCTCGTGCTTGGTATGATCGCTTTCAGACTGCTATTACTAAGTTTGGGTTTCATCCTTGTACCCAGGACTCTGCTTTATTTCTTCTCCACACCTCTGCTGGATTTGTTACGTTATTACTGTATGTGGATGATATGATCACCACTGGTTCTGACTCTTCTGCTATATCTGAAGTCAAGCAGCATCTTTTCTACACTTTGAAATGAAAGATCTGGGCCAATTGCGGTATTTTCTTAGTATTGAGATAACTTCTTCTTCCAAGGGCTACTTTCTCTCTTAGGCCAAGTGTGACACTAAGGTTATTCATCGTGCCTATTTTACTGACACTAAGATTTCTGATACCTCTATTGAGCTTAATGTAAAGCTTAACACTACTGATGGTGTTTTTCTGGATGATCCTACTATATATCGAGAGCTCGTGGGTTGCGTAGTCTATCTAACGGTTATTCGTCTTGATCTTGCCTATGCTGTTCATGTGGTTAGCCAGTTTGTCTCTACTCCTTGCTCCACACATTGGGCTACCTTGGTTCGGATTCTTCGCTATCTCCGAGATACTATCTTTCAAGGTTTACTATTGTTCTCTACTTTCTCTTTGGATTTGGTGACTTACGCTGATTCTGATTGGGCTAGTGATGTTACTGATCGCAAGTCCACGTCTGGTTTCTGTATGTTTTTTAGTGATTCCTTGATCTCTTGGAAAAGCAAGAAACAAACTGTTATTGCTCGCTCTACTGCCAAAACTGAGTATCGTGCTATGGCTCATGCTACTGCTGAAGTTGTTTGGCTTCATTGTCTTCTCTCTAACTTGGGCATCCCTCAGCCTTCTCCGACCTCCTTCTATTGCGGTAGTGTTATTCAGATTACATATAACACTGTATTTCATAAGCGGACCAAGCACATTGAGATTGATTGTCACTTTGTTCATCAGCATTTGCAATTTGGCTCTATCTCGCTTCCTTTCGTCTCTTCGGCTCTTCAACTTGCTGACTTCTTTACCAAGACTCACACCACTACCTGGTTTCAATTTCTTCTTGACAAATTCTCAGTGTTTTCCACTAAAACTCCTTGAGTTTGAGCGGGAGTGTGAGAATATTGTGTATATATGTATATATGATAGTGGTAATGTGTATATATTCTGAGAGATATTTTCGTTTCCTTTTTTGTCTTAGGGTTAGGAGTACTATATAATCAGATTTATCCTTTGTTTTTTTTTACACAATTAAATATACAGTTCATTCAGAAATCTTACATCTACGTGATCAACTCAAAAAGGACAATCAATCTTGAATGAGTCCATACCTTCCATGAAGAACATGAATGTCATCTTTTTCAGAATTTGGCCATAAATCTAGTTCTATTACCCTCACACCATTTTGCAGAGCCTTTATGATTGGTAAGTCGCTAGCATCACTGCTCAATTGGTTCCCTGTTAGGTAGGAATTGTGACCTGTATATATGAAATAATGTTGCAATGGAGCAGTCATATCATGGTGTACCTGAAATAACATAACTGGTCAAGGGCAAATTTAAACTTGTCTCTGCTAGAATTATTCAAGGCACTCTCAATTAGAATGGACTTTAGGGCTGGCCCTGAGCATAAGTTGGCAAAGCAGCCGCTTTAGAGCCCGATCTTTTGTCTAAAAAATAGGGTCCTCCCGCTTTGATCCAACTCTTATACTAAAAGGCCCCAATTTAAGTCCAAAATTTAAAGATCCTTTCATTTACTTTTAGTAAGCAATTGGATGGAGTCTAAAATCAAAGATCAAATTAATTGACTATGTTATCTCCATTGAAAAGGATATGGTCAATAAACTTAATTATGCAAGCTTAATTAGTAATTAGAAAAATTATCAATAGGAGCTATTTTTTCAAACTTTTCACTTCATACATGGTTTCTCATATGGGTTTTACAAATTTTTAAATATGACAGGTCTCACATATACACGCGTCATTTATTGCATGAATACACATAAAAGTGAGAAATTATTCAATACTCTTGGGACATGTTTGATTCACAAGATTAATAGTGAAGTATTAATAATCATATTAAATTAGTGTGGTATTCACTATCCAATTGGATTAATAATCCCACCCCTACCCCATTACTAATAATCTTACAAATTTGTTCGATTAATTATCCATTGGATTAATAATCCTAAACCAAAATGTTAAAACAAACATAGGATAATTGAGCCCACAGATTAATAATCCAAATCCCGTACTCTAATCCACCCAATCAAACATGCCCTTGGAGCATTGCTCCTTTACATTTACATGTTAAACACATCATAAGTTGTCTCTTATAACTCTAACATAAAAGTGATGGGTCACATAGTTTAGACCAATAATTACTACTATGGAGCACCACCTAGCAATACTCCAATACTCCAGAAGTATTGAATAATTTCTCGAAGTTGATGTGGTGATAAATAGATTTCTCTTAAATATAAGTATTACTTTTCCTTTGAAATTACCATTTGGGTCCTACCAAATTTTAAAGTGGACGAAGTCTTTGTTAAAAAAAATTAAAGTCATCATAATTTTATGTTGTTATTCCACTTTTACCTCTTCTTATGAAAAAAAAAAAAAAATGAAGAAGAAGAAGATTTTTCATAAAAATGTAATTGAGATTTTATTAAGAACGAATAAAATTGAAATAAACATAAACATATATAGATTTGAACTTTATTAAACAATTAGTTGTCTAAATCAAAACTGGATAGAATTCAAAAATAACCTTGAGAAAAAAGTAATTTTCCCTTAGGCTGTGTTTGATTGGAAGATTTTGGGAGAAATTTGGAAAGTGAAATGGAAAAGGTAGGTAAAATGTGAATAAAATATAACTATATTCCACCTAATTTCACACACCTTTTCCCTTCTTTCCAAATCTCCCAATCAAACACAGCCTTAGTAGTTTTGTAGTAATGATTAAGTGATGATTTGTTGCAAACGATTCAATTAATTTTTGGTATTATAGCTTTAGATTTTGTTTGAAGATTTTTTCTTATTGTCAACTGGATTTTGTTAAACAATAAAACAAGATCTTATTTTATCTTTTTGAGCTTTTATAATAATAATTTTTTCATATGTATATAAAAATAAAAAATGGTGTGCACTACTTTTTACTTGTGATTTTTTCTTTTTCCTTTTTTTTTTCTTTTTTTTTCCTTTTTTGCATTTATATTATAGAGGCCCCAATCTGTACAGTTTGCTTACTCAGGTCGGCCGTCCATTAATAACAGATATTATGGAAAAAAATTAATACGAAAAACATGATTTCTTTGTTTATAGAATTGCTTATGCTTTACTTCATGAAATTTTACCAAACTCAAACACAATTTCAAGTAAACAATCCTCTCTCTGTCTCACACACACTAATCTCTCAAGTAGGAACAATTTTATGAATATACATACATATACAAAAATGAGAGTATGAGAGAGAGATAGAGAGACCTGTGATTTGATAGGGCCATTGAGATCGTCGAAGAAAAGGTAGTGAAAGAAATCCTCAAGGCAGAGACCATGGCCAGTGGGCTTGGTGACGCGGTGTCGCTGGACGATTTGCTCTGCATCGGAGATGGTGTAGCCTTCCTCTTTCTGAAACTCGATCAGAAACCGGAGGAGCTGATCGGCCGACATTTGCGACGATCCATTCCCACTCTCACTCTCGGAATACTTCATGAACGCCTCCTTCACGTCCGCCGGTGGCTCCGCGTCTCTGATCTTGTGGTGTTGTGTTGATTGCCCGGATAAAAATGACCTTTTAAGGTAAAGACTCAACAAGAAATTTCCTAATTGTTTACATAACTTAGTTATGAATAGTTTCTCATTTATTGCCTTAAATATAATAATCCCATCATATTTGGTTCAAAAGAATATACATTACAAAGAAACAACTTACTAAAAGCTTCCCTTCCAAAATATGATTTAAAAGACAGCTTGCTAAAGATAAGATTTTATCATTCATGATATTCTTATCCTGACCAAGGTACACAAAAATGCCTTTCCAACACAACCATGACACAGGTAAACATCTATACTGTGAGAATATTGTGTATATATGTATATGGTATATATATATATATGAAGATATTTTTGTTTCCTTTTTCGTCTTAGGTTATAGGAGTACTATATAATCAGATGTATCCCTTGTTTTTTTTTTGACACAATTGAATGTACAGTTTCGTTCAAAAATCTTACATGGTATCAGAGCGTCTTTGAGCCGAACCGCTAGAAATATTCTGTGTCGTCTTCCTCATCAAATCTTCACTAGTCGTGAACCTCGTGTGCTCTTCTTTCATGCGATCGAAACTCAGCCCTCTGGTTTTATCCCTCTGAATTGCGATCGTCCTTCGTGTCGTGTGGTTTATATCTCTGGTTCGTAACCCATAAAAACCATTGTCGCGGCTTATCTAAGTTGAGAGGCTTTGGGTCATCTATCTCTTGCTCTCGTGCCTCGTGCGAAGGTCTGCTCCCTTTCCATCTATTCGCCGTGGTCACTGTGCTTCGTTAGTCGTCTTCTCTCTCTAGTTCAGTCTCTCTCATTAGTTTGTTGCATCTCTGGTTCATTGACTTCACTTTTGTTTTTTTTGGTTTATATTTTTGGGTTTATTACACTTAAACCCCTCAATTGTCTTTTCATCATCCTGTGACCTCTGGTTTGACTATTTGGCTCTATTGTGGGATTTTATTACACTTGAACTCCTAATCTCTTTGATTATTACGATGTCTCTGGCATTTGATGAGTGTGCCTTCTGCCATCAGCAATGTCATTAGAAGTATCACTGTCCAATAAAGGATGTTTGTTTTGCTTTTGCCTGTATCTTCCTCGTCTTCTCAGCAGTTTCCAATCCAATTCTGGCTCCTCTTCTGAGTACGTTCGACCTCCCATCAGTACTATTGCATCCGCTCCAGCTCTTGATCCTGACTTAACTTCCTTGACTACTCAGATTAGTCAGCTTCAGAATACACTAATTACTCAGCTTCAGCCTGTATTGTCTACCTCCCAACCATCCCCGTCTGCTTCCATTGTTTTCTCTCTTCATTCAGGTTTGCTTGGGTCTTCTTCAGGTATCTCTTTGTCTGTCTGGATTTTTGACTCTGGTGCCTTTCATCATATGACTCTCCATCTCTTCTTACTTTAAAAATTGTGCTCCCCCTTCTTTTCCTATTACTGTTAATGCTGTTAATGGGTCTGGTATGTTTGTTATATCTGTTGGTCTGTCTTACGCTACTATGTCTGCTGTCTTTATTTCATCTGTTCTTTATGTTTCTCAGTTATCTGTCAGTTTTATTATCTATCAGTTAGCTTAATACCTCAGATTTTGATGTTATCTTTTTTCTTCTTTTGTTTCTGTGTAGAATCGATGTCCAAACACTAGATTGGGACTGACCATAGAGTTGGAGATCTCTATGTAGTGAAGAGTTTGCATCTGCCTATGACAACTTTTCCAACCGTTTTTTTTCTCTTTTCAGTTAGATTCTCTATCCAATCTTTTTTCTACTTGTGGCATTTAGATTAGGACATTTGTCTACTTGAACCGCTTACGGTTTCTAGCTCAGTCATGTATATTGGGGTAAAGTTTCTCCTAGTGAACTTACTGAATGCTGGGGGTGTAAACTTGTCAAACTGACAAACCTTACCTTTTCGTAAAAGTACTTCTATATCTGATACACCGTTTTCTTAGTTTAACTGATGTTTGGGGCCCTTCCCTGTTCTGACCAAAGGGAATTCTGCATACTATGTGTCATTTGTTGATGACTGCACCCGTTAAGCTTGGGTTTTATCTTATGACTCATAAGTCCGATTTCTATCAGATATACTGTACCTTTTAGTCTAGTGATTACTACTCAGTTTGGGTCTACAATTAAAGTGTTACAGTCTGACTTGGGTGGAGAATATTTTTAAATTGAGTTCTGTGAGTATTTGGCCAATTTGGGTACCATTCACCAAACTTCCTATACAGATATGCCTGCCCAAAATGGTCAAGCCGAGTGTAGACACCGTCATCTCCTTGAGACAGCTAGGTCTCTTCTTCTCTCTGCCGATCAGTTCAGTCTTCATTTTGGGGAGAAGCAGTTCTAATTGCTGCATTTTTCTTTTTTACCCGCAGGCCTACTCCCATGTATTAGACCAACCCAAATTCCTAATACTCCCTCCTAATACATGTTTTTTTCCTGCTTCCTATCGTACTTTTTTGTTTGCTATTCACGCTTTTTTAGAACCTCAATCTTACAAAGAGGCCCTATCAGGATCCCCCTCGAGTTCAAGCTATAGAGGATCGTTGTCTACTTTATAAGAAAACTAGTACTTGGAAGTTGATTCATTTGCTTGCTGGTAAGAATCTGGTTGGTTGCAAATGGGTCTACAAATCAAAGGCTCATTTTGATGATGGTTCTCTTGAGCGCTACAAAACTCGTCTGGTTGGCAAAGGTTTTTCACAGGAGTATGGTATTGATTATAGAGGAGACCTTTGCTCCTGTTGCCAGATAAACTACCTGTCCATACTTTGATCTCTGTCTTGCTATTCGTTCTTGCCTCTTTATCAGATGGATGTTCAGAATGCTTTTCTTAATGGTCATCTCACTAAGGAGGTTTACATGCATCCTCCCCTGGCCTTCACCATCCTTTGGACAGGTTTGTCGCTTCGACTGCTCGTATAGTCTGAAGCAGTCTCCTCGTGCTTGGTATGATCGCTTTCAGACTGTTATTACTGAGCTTGGGTTTCATTCTTGTACCCAAGACTCTGCTTTATTTCTTCTCCACACCTCTGTTGATTTGTTGCGTTTATTAACTGTATTGTGGATAAATATGATCACCACTGGTTCTGACTCTTTCTGCTATATCTGAGGGTCATCGCAGCATCTTTTCTACATCTTTGAAATGAAAGATATGGACCCATTGCGGTATTTTCTTAGTATTGAGATAACTTCTTCTTCCAATGGCTACTTTCTCTCTAGCCAAGTATGCCACTAAGGTTATTCATCTGTGCCTGTTTTACTGCCACTAAAGATTTCTGATACCCTATTGAGTTTTAATGTAAAGCTCAACACTACTGATGGTGTTTTTCTCGGATGATCCTACTCCATATCGAGAGCTCGTGGGTTGCGTTATCTATCTAACGTTATCCGTCCTGATCTTGCCTATTTGTTCATGGTAGTTAGCCAGTTTGTTCTGCTTCCTTGCTGCCACACATTGGGCTACCTTGGTTCGGATTCTTTGCCTATCTCCGAGGTACTACTTTTCAAGGTTTACTATTGTTCTCTACTTCCTCTTTGGTTGGTGGCCTACGCTGATTCTGATTGCACTAGTGATGTTACTGATCGCAAGTCCACGTCTGGTTTCCGTTATGTTTTTTAGTGATTCCTTGATCTCTTGACAAGCAAGAACAAACTGTTGTTGCTCGCTCTAACTGCGAAACTGAGTATGTGCTATGGCTCATGCTACTGTTGAAGTTGTTGGCCTTGTTATCTTCTCTCTAACTTGGGCATTCTCAGCCTTCTCTGACCCTCCTCTATTGCGGTAGTGTTATTCAGATTACACATAACACTGTATCCATAAACTGACCAAGCACATTGAGATTGATTGTCACTTTATTCATCAGCATTTGCAGTTTGGCTCTATCTCGCTTCCTTTCGTCTCTTCGGGCTCTGCAACTGGCTGACTTCTTTACCAGACTCACACCACTCTTGTTTCAATTCTCTTGACAAATTCTCAGTGTTTTCTGCTAAACACCTGAGTTTGAGCGGTGAGTGTGAGTATTGTGTAATATTGTATATATGATAGTGTAGTGTGAGAGATATTTTTCGTTTCTCTTTTTGTCTTAGGGTTAGGAGTACTATTAATCAGATTTATCCTTTGTTTTTTTTTTTTACACAATTAAATATACAGTTCATTCAGAAATCTTACATATACGTGATCAACTCAAAAAGGACGATCAATCTTGAATGAGTTCATACCTTCCATGAAGAACGTGAATGTCATCTTTTTCAGATTGGCCATAAATCTAGTTTCTATTACCCTCACACCATTTGCAGAGCCTTTATGATTGGTAAGTCGCTAAGCATCACTGCTCAATTGGTTCCCTGTTAGGTAGGAATTGTGACCTGTATATATGAAATAATGTTGCAATGGAGCAGTCATATCATGGTGTACCTGAAATAACATAACTGGTCAAGGGCAAATTTGAAACTTGTCTCTGCTAGAATTATTCAATGCACTCTCAATTAGAATGGACTTTAGGGCTGGCCTGAGCATAACGTTGGCAAAGCAGCCGCTTTAGAGAGCCCATCTTTTGTCTAAAAAATAGGGTCCTCCCACTTTGATCCAACTCTTATACTAAAAAGGCCCCAATTTAAGTCCAAAATTTAAAAGATCCTTTCATTTACTTTTAGTAAGCAATTGGATGGAGTCTAAATCAAAGATCAAATTAATTAACTATGTTATCTCCATTGAAAAGGATATGGTCAATAAACTTAATTATGCAAGCTTAATTAGTAATTAGAAAAATTATCAATAGGAGCTATTTTTTCAAAACTTTTTCACTTCATACATGGTTCTTCTCATATGGGTTTTACAAATTTTTAAATATGACAGGTCTCACATATATCACGCGTCATTTATTGCATGAATACAACATAAAAGTGAGAAAATTATTCAATACTCTTGGACATTGTTTGATCACAGATTATAGTGAATTTTAATAATCATATTAATTGTGTGT